CTTAATGAGGCAAACGTTTTGCAGAAATTTAAGTGGAAAATACATGTGCTTGTAAATTCTAAAACAATTCGGTATAGGCACTTAGCCCTTTAGTTTGTTGTTTGGGGTTAGTTCCTCTTCACTGTGAGAATTTCTATTCAGTTCTTATAACAGGAACAATATAATGATGATAATCTATAGTGTGTTTAAGACTAAATCTCAAGGAACATAATGATGTGACAGGCAAATAGTTCCCTGCTGCTAGTGAAATACCAATGCAGAGTTAAAATAGCCTTAGAAAATAAACCTGTAGGTGAAGGTGAAACATTTCAAAGCTGGAGTCTTTTATTTTATCACTATGTTCAGATCTAGCATAGAAATGTAACTATTTAGATATGTACTTGAAAACTAAATCTCTTGCTTTTAACATTAAAAGCAAGACATTGTGTATTTTCTTAAAGTTTCATTTGGAAGCATGAAATCCACTGTTTGGCTGAAGATTTTTCTATTATTCCTGTATTGTTTTCAATTATTTTAAATGATGTTGTCAGTCATGAAGGAAATAAAATGTAATCATATTTAGGTACACTAACTTATTATTTAGAAATCATGAGATTCTGTGGAAGCACAATCAGCCAGACTCTTTAAAACTTCACTGTAATAAAATTTATTGTACTTGAATACAAAACAGTTCNGATATCCAACCAATTTATGATTCATTTAAACAAAATGATAATCAAAGGAAGTCTTTACTGACATTTATGTTGAAGTGAATACCTGAAGCTTAACCAGTAAACCATAAAAAAAAGGAAAAGGGACAAGTAGGAACCAGACTTCACTGTTGTTAAGGGAATCCTGTATATTCCTGCCGTGCACTCCAGATGTTATTTTCATCATACTGTGGTGTAAGGAGTAAATGAATAATGAGTAAATAAATAGTGAATGAATAAATTACTAATGAATGAAGAAGGCAATTTAAATCACATGCATTTTATAAATATTGCATAGTTATTGGCATGGGTACCTGAAACTTATATAAAATGTTTAGCTCTTGCTACACATTTGTGCAGAATGTTTACACTCACCAAATCTTAAAATGCTACTGATCTAGTGATATGCAAAGTTGCTAGGTGATAATTCATCTAGAATTTCAAGGGTATTATAATAGAAAAGAATGTTTCCTCTTCTTCTCAAATGTTTGAGAATGTTCTTCTAACATTACTATGAAAACTGTATAAATTAATCACAAAGGTTGCCAAAGGCACACCTATATTCCGATTGAACTAATCTGTAGTCTAGATGCTATATAACTACTTCACACTTCACATCATGAGCTTTTTTATGTATTCATTTAAGTGACCAAGCCTCTATTTCAGGAATAAACTAATTTAACATACTATAAAATTTTAGTGACTTTTTTTTTGAGAAACTATTACACAAACTGATATATAAATGACATGTAATTTTCTAGCCCTGTTAAAATTGATGGACTGAAATACGCATATAGCTAGGCAATATTGGTATATTTTGATAAAAAAGGCAAATGTAAATGTAACAGTGGTATATAGTTAGAATGAACATTATGGTTTTAAAGATTTAGTTTCAATATTTATTTTATTGTATTTATTTTGAACCAAATAATTTATTGTATAGTTCATATTATATCTGCCATCTATGCGTTGTGTTTATGGTGTGAGACACCTGTGATAGAGTAAACAGGGCACTGAACCTGAAATCAGACCATCTGAATTTGAGTCCTGCTCTGCCACTTTCTAGTTAAGCAAGTCATTTATTAGCTCATCTATAAAGATGGAATAATGATGACACTCTCAGGATTGATGGAAGAATTAAGTAGCATAATTGGTGTGATACGTTTCATATTCATCAAATAGAATGCTATGATAGTACATGCAAGCTAGCTCTATATTTTTTCTTCAAAAAGATGGTTTTTATACTTAATGGTGATAGCTTTTTTCAAGGCCATATTTTACTTTTAGAAGGCAATTTATTGTGTATATTTGTGACTCACTTTTTCCCTTATCTTCAGGTGAAGAAGAAAGTTAAAAATAATTTGAATACTGGATTATAATGATTCTGGAATTACACTTAGTTTTATGTAATGCCTATGTAGTGGCCCATCATTTGAGAACTATACCCAAAGCCATTTGAATGTATATTCTGGTATGGAAAAATAACATTTCCAATCTTTTATCAGTAGTTTATTTTTTATGTAAATTTTGAAACTCCTTTGGTGGCGGTGGTACTTACAATTGAATAAGGGATAATAAATAAACTTGTTAAAAATATATAAACCAGAAATATTATTTATATAATATTTATTATATATAGAAAAATGAGCATAGGACAAAAAAGTGGAATTGTAAATTTTCTCGATAAGTTCAATATATTATACAACTTATTCAAGACCAGAGGTCTCTGGCCATTATTGTAGTTTGTCTCCTTGGTACCTGTGTGCCAACACCCATCTTTTTCCTTAAAGCTCTCTTTCCTGAAATGAGATGATTTTCTTTTTTCTTCCCCAATTCTCCCTTCTCCTCCTTCTGCCACTCTTCTATCACTTATCAACATCTCTAAGATCCTAACTATAGGAGAAAATACCAAAAAGCTTCCCAGGACAACTTGTTCTGAAACCACAAGAGAGAACTGATACTCATGTAGAAATAGCTGCACCTGTACTCTTCCAGGCTCACTTCTTGTTGGTGCATAAAGCCAGGGCAGAGAAAGCCGGGGCAGGGCCCACGCAACTCGGGCATGATGAAGAACTAATTCAGTTCTTAGATTCCCTATCCCCACGCCATCACTAATAGAAACTCAAGGTACTCCCTCCTAAAATGACTTCCAACCATCATTATGATGTCCTTGGATGTCAAAATCAAAGTTTTCTATCGCTGGCCAATTTATTTTCCTAGGATTTCCCTACTCAACCCTATTCCTCAATACTTCCCTCTTAATCACAACTCAGTACACACCCCTGCACACCCATACACATGTACATGCATATATATTCGTCAAATAATACTACAATCGATGCAATAACTACATGGACTACACTCTGATATTTCATTTTATTTTTTTAAATGCTGATTAAAACCGAGGAAGTTCTTTTCATGACTCACTAAAAATCTTGATCCACACTTTTAGAAACATTTTAGGTGACATTCAATGAAGTCCTTTCAGTTTTCAAAGTTCTATGGTTCTCTTTATTCTTATAATGAAATTTGTATTTAATAAAAAAGTTTCTATTCTCTGGATAAAAGCAACATGGTATGAAAAAGTGCTCATAGAATTTTCAGTTTATCATTGTTCTATTGAAATGCTGATGTTTTAGGAAGGCGAATAATAAACAGGAAATTGAACTGAGAGTTGTAGGAGTATTAATGAGAAAAGACAAAGCCTGTCAGAAAAACAGATGCAGAAAGCCTGAATGATATTGTTTAAGCAATCAACAGTTGTTATTGTGTGAGGGCAATCTTATTTGTACTAAAAGATTCCTAATTTTTATATAGATTTGAGAGGATTATTATTTGTATGCATTTTTATACCTTCTAAATTGTGATGTCCATTGGCAGCGGCGTTGACATACCTAGAAGGCCACGTGTGATGTGTCCCTTTGTCTGTCTCTTCTCTCTGTGATTCCTTTCCCTCCCGCTCACTCACTATACCCCGTCAGTCCTGGTCCGTGGACACACCAAGACGTCACATGCTAGTGCCTTTGCACTAGAGGTTCTCTGCCTCAATCCCACTGTCTTCCTCACACACCTGAATGGTTAACTTCCTCAACTTCTTCAACCCTTTGTTCAAATATAGTTGCCTTGTCAATGAGGCCCACCCTGAGAGCCCTTTTTAAAATTGCAGACTGCCCCATACCCCTTAACTTAATTTCTTGCATTTGCATGTATCCCCCTTTTAACATTATGTTGTGTCTCTCTCCCCCCTATGGAATGTAAGCTCCCAGGGATTTTTATCTGCTTTGATCGCTATTGTGTCCTAAGTGTTTTACAAAGGCACCTGGCACATTTTAGGAGCTTAGTTAATATTAATTGAATGAGTGTATCTCTCAATATATTGAGCAAAGAACTTACGCATAAATACTACGCAGGATATATTATATGAAGGAACCATTTTAGATTGTATAATTTACATTTTACAGAACACTTTTGAAGTCCCCTATTCCACATACCCAACAATCAAGCTGTGGTATGGTTAGAACTGGAATCATTGTACCCTACCTTCCCCCAGCCCTAGACAGGGAAACTGAGAGGTTGGGTGGCATGTCTAAGGTTACAAAAAGTGGGCAGTCTTCTGACTCCTATAAAAATGGAATTACCATTGCTTTGCTTTCTGGGATGGAGTTTTGCAGTTTGTAAACTTTTGTTTCTGGTATGTCTGTGGTGCTTCCAAATTTATGTTAAGAGGGTATTACTTTCTATTTACATGTTAAAGCCTTCCAGTGTTTATTATCATACTTAGCAACAATATGTAGCAGATTATTTAATTTGCAGAAAGAAAGCATTAAAAATTCCTGAGATTAAAGCAAAGTTGATAAACATCATAGTACTTTTTAGTATTGGTGCTTCTTCAGGCTCATGATTTTTTTCTAAACTTTTTCCCCTCTGTTGACTTTTTATCTTTTTAGTAAAGAAAAGGTAGAAGACAAAGCTTTAATTCTAGGCTTTGGTAGAACCTGTTAAACATTGGGGAGCCTTTGTGTAATGATTTGGAGAAATTTTCAATATTTCCAGTCTATGCTTGAGGAGCGTTAACAAATTGTATGTGAAACTGGGGCAAAGGGAAAGTGACTACTAAAAATTTGCCTGATATATTACCCATCTGTGATGCCTAACGTAACTGCATTTAATTAAACACCACGCGGGGCGGGGGCGGGGGAGAGGGAAAAGCTGGAGCTACTCGCGCGATCAGAGCAGCCCAGGGCCAGCGGTGCGGGCTCAGGAGCTGCCAGCCCGCCGAGGTGCTGCGGTCGCCGCCTCCCCCTCCGGCTGCTGATTGGCGGGGACCACGGCATCAGCAGCATCTCCCTACGAGAGGAGGGCGGCGAGACTCCAACAGCCGCTGCCTTCGGGATCCTCAGCTCCCTCCTGCAAGACCTCGGACTCGGACTGCGAGCAGCTGCGTCTGCGCCCGCCGCCGCTTTGATCCCCTCCTCGGCCCCTCCCCAACAAAGTGGAGGTCCCGGCCGCCCACACAGCTACGTCTGCTCGGGACCCGGCCGGGGAGGCAGGGGCCAGAACCCCAGGGTCGCGCGGCACCATCCACGCCCCCCGAAGCGCAGCGGTCGCCGCGCCCCAGCCGCCAAGACGCCTCGTATCTTGTACCGCGGGAAAAGCGGGTCTTCATCCAAAATGGGCCGGCAGGGCTTGGGGGGCGCCGGCGCTGCGGGGCGCTCCATGCAGCGCTCCCAGAGCCGAAGCAGCCTCTCCGCCTCCTTCGAGGCGCTGGCCGGCTACTTTCCCTGCATGAACTCCCTGGAGGAGGAGGAAGGAGGTGAGACGGTTTGCGCTGGGCGTTTCTGTTTACAGCTTGCGTCTCGTAGGGTCGGTGGTGGGAGGGGGGTCGCGGGGAGAGAACTCCAAGTAGCAGCGGTCTGTCCCCTCTGCGCCCGGGGACTGTGCCGCGGCCGAGAGACCCCCCGAGCGCGCCGGCTGAGCCTGGGAGTTCTGTCCATTGGTGATTTGGAGAGCTCCACAGGCGCTGACTTGGGAAACGACTTCCCTGGTGAAGTTGAGTTATCGAGTGCTTGGAAGTGGAAGGAGCATGTAGACTGCGGGGGGGCAGGCGACGCCTGTTGGGTGTACTCCATCCTTTTTTTGTTAACTGCAGTCTCGGTGTTAGCATTTGGCCTCAAGGACAGAACTACAAAAAAATTCAAGGGAAAGGTAGCAGCAGAGCTTTAAAACAGGAATCACAGCCTGGGAAAACTCAAGATCCGGATGAGGGGAAGTGGGGACCCAAAGGACAGGTCAAAGGCTGGCCGTACTAAGGCGGTTTGGGCTGTGGAGACTGGGAGCCTTGTGCACGGGGCGCGATACTATGAATGACGATGGGTTGTCTATCTCTGGCGTTTTAGTGATGTCTTTGTCATTAGCGATTGAGAAAAATAGGGAAGGGGACTCTGTTTTAAACTTTTCACCAAGTAGTTTCAAGTCCATCAAAGTTTTTAATAACATGTTTTCTTCACAAAGAACTTGCCTATAAGATTTAACAGCTAACATTAAAAATATAATGTATATATCAAAGCAAGAATTAACTGCTGAATAATAGCGTCCCCACATTTGAGATACTGTTTATTAATTTACTGATATGCTAGTTGCAAACTGTGTTCCTCTTTACCTACATGTCCAGAGTAGATTAGTTACCAGCATGTTTATTATTATATATAAGAGGATTTATTTTGCTTTTTTTCTGTGAGAATCAATGACCAGATATTAGGAAATCTGTAGTGAGCCCTGATTTGGAAAAAACTAACTACCTACTCTAGATCAGGTCAAAATAAACTTTTCCCCTGTTTTTCCCACTGTGGGACGGGGAAGTGGAAGGTAGAGGACCATATTATGTCTGAAAGTGGTCCTCAAAATAACTCACTACTTAGAGCTATTCAAGTTTCTTCTAGTTTACCGCTGCAATATCAGTTTTCTACAGATCAATAGAGGTTTAATAGTAGCGTACTTCCCTAAACATGACTTAATTTTCATGCTAATACTTTGCTGTGCTTGTTTGCTGTTCTGGTTTGTACATTGTTTTCTACAAGTAAATGTTTTAAAATCTCAAGAAGTGTAAAGAAGCCAAGAAATTCGAAAATCAACTTGAGTAAATGAACGATTGTAATGGTAGTAAATTTTTCAGTATTTATGATTAGTCAGGCACTGTTCTAAGAGTTTGCCATATGTTTACTCTCTTAAGCCCACAACAACTGTATAAGGTACTTTTTTTATTCCCATTTCACAAATGAGGAAACTGAGGCAGAGAAGGGTTCAGGAACTTGCACAGGTTCACCCAGATAGTATGTGATAGTCAGTTTTTGAGCTCAGGCGGTCAACAACGCAACCTATGACCTCAACTTCAGGCTGTACTATATTATTTACACATACTTGGCTACAATCACATACCTACTAAGTGGTGAAGCTAAAACTCAAACCTGGGTGTGCCTGAAAATACATATTTAAATAAAACATTTTAGACTCATTTCTCAATTTTTAATTTTTACACCAGGTCTTCAGTCTTGAGTTTTCTTCAAATAATCTGTCATCATTCCTCCTTAAATTGTAACTAGAATTGTTGGATTTACAAAGTACCATTCTAAAAGCCTTTTTGAGACAAGAAAAGCTTATATACGAGTAAATGTGAAGATTTTTCAAAAGTTAAAGTACATTCTCTTAACCTTGATTCATACAGACTAATACCAAAGGAAATTCCTACATCTACACATGAAAAATTGGAACAGATGATTTCTGTCTCATAACATGGCTTCTTAAGTGACCTAGAGAAAATGTTCCATGAGGAAGCCAGCATTTTCAAAATGAAACATACAGTTCTTTACAGGTAACTAGAGAGGAGGCACCTCCCATAAATGAGAAGATACTGTTGTTTTACAACCAAGAAAAGAAATCTGAACTTTCTTCTTTGATTTCCAGCAAAACTCCCACCACCCGTGAAACTCATGAGATTTTTTTAGGGTGTTTCAACATACCCTGCAGAGTTGTGAAAGTTAGAAATCACTAGCCTGGAGTCACAATTTTTTTTTTCTATTGAGACACCCACACAGGACACATGAAGTTCATGTGGATAACATACTCTCATAGGCCTACTCAGGAATATGTTACTATAGTCATAACTGTGAAACCCATTCTAATTTATAAAGAGAAATAAATCCATCACAACAGATGGTTATCACACTGGATGAGAACGACTTGTCTAAAGAGAGCAGTGGTCTGCTAACCAGTGTGATTCGACTATTCGACTAAATTAATCAGTTCAGTAAGCCAACCTGATTTTAAAGCTAGTCTTTTTTTTTTTTTTGGCTTTTCAGAGATAGTGCAATAGCTAAATAATCTCAAGTTTACTCTGTCGTCCAGTTGCATATCCTCATTTCATTTTTGTGCAATATATCCAGACATTACCATTCTCCAAGGAGTTTATTGAGACCATATACTTTTCATTCATTTCTTCATTCAGAAATATTTACTGAAGCTATTTTATGTGTTAGTAGCTATGGTAGTCCCTAAATTTGGAAGATAGTCTCCTTACCCTCTTATAGCTGAGAGTCTAATGGTGATAGGTATTAATTGGAATAACTACGTAATTATAACTATGACAAGCATCAGAAAGGTGAAGTACAGAGCACAATAAAAGACAAGAGAACCTAATTTAGGAGCTTGAGAAGGGTGTCTTGAGAAAGTGAGGGTTGAACACGAATTCAGGCATCAGTGATAGTTCTCAGTCTCTTGTGCCTCCTACACACCTTCGAGAACAACTTGCCCAGCCCACAGCTAGTAAGTGCTGGGCCTGGGATCTGAACCCATTATCTGGCTCTGGAGTTTATAATCCTAACTACTTTGCATATTGTTTCTTCATTATTATACTGGGTTTTCTCATAATATGCTGTATTCTTGAAAACCAAGTATTAATACAATAATAATAGTTACCATTTATTTAGTACCTTCTGTGTGCCACGTTTCTTTGAATTCATGACAATTCTTCAAGGAAGTTATTGTTTTCATCATTGTACACATGTGGAAACTGAGACTTAGTGAAGT